GGGACTTCACTGGACATCTGACACGTGAACACATGAAGTTGTCATTCCAAATGCAAGTTTCTCATCCAATGTTGCTAAAGTACCCACATTACACACAGATGGAAATCAAGGCAAAATGGGCTTAAACAGTTTGCTCACATTCACACCAGCATATACTGCAAAGGCAGAGCAGCATGCCCGTGGTTCTAATACTGATGCCTTCCCATGTGAGATCATGTTGAAGATTAACAAAAGAGTCTGGCATGGGCTGGGAGTGCAATGTACAAAATATAGCATATCCAGAAATGGTCCTGTGCCACCTCAGTTTCACTGTCATAAGCAGAACTACCACCTACCAGGCGAACAGACTAGGATGCTTCTCTCATGAGAGATTTTCAAACTTTCTCTCAGCAGACACTACCCTACATATTGCAAGAGCTGCTGCCAACATAGCATGCAGGTCCCTACTCCAAGAAAAATCAGAAACATGGACCGGCACTCAGGAACAGGAAATGCACTAATGGCAGCCTTCACTTGTGGGCAGCCCTGAACATGCCAGTCTCTGACCGTATTGCCAAGTCTACAGAAGCAGTGGTCTCTTGCAAACAGCCTGTCATGGGAAGTAAAGATTTCAACGGACAGTGCACTGTGGAAGAGCAGGGCACTGTTGAGACATCTGTGCTCTTCAGGGAGGGGTGAAGCAGTTGTTGATGCATTTTCACCAGCTACATTGTTGGGGGAATGATCTGGCTCTTCACTTCTGATACTTTAAGCCTATAACAGGTTCCCCCTTACCTCACCTCCTGCAAATTGCTGCAAGCACACATGCCAAGACACAAGTCCCTTACCTATGCAGTCCCATGCACACATCATACAGTGAAAGTAAGAGCACAGAAACATTGAAACAACTTTCAAATCTCTGTGCAGGCACGGATGACATAACTTAGTGACAAGCAGTTAAGTTCCAACAGCAAGATTGTGCAGCCACCCCTGTCCACTGCTATATAATATATAATGCTACAGTGTGCAAATCTCTATATTTAGGGAGCAGGTTCTGTACTGCTCCACCTCCCCTGTCCCTCATTCCTCCTCCCACTCCCCAAAAGAAACTTAACTTTGTTCATATCCCTGAAGGATATCTTAACTGCAGAAGAGCTCTTCATGCATAGCACTCATAATGTATTCTAATTCAGTATACATGCTAAAGCAAAGTGATGCAATTCATCTAGTTGTGTTTGACCTCAAAATGGATAACTTCATGAGGTGAGAAATAATTAGAAAATAATTCAAAAGGATAGCTGAAATAGAAACAAAAACAAACAAACAAAAAGCAGCTATTTAAAGGCAGCCTGCTTCCAAAGCATCACTCTCCCAAAATTATCTATTAAGTAGTACTTATTTACCTAAATAAGTAATGATATAGATATCACAATCTCAAAGGTATGGAAGAACTGGAAAGCGCACACTAAAGCATCATAGAATAAAATCATGGAATCATAGAATAACTCGGGTTGGAAAAGACCTTGAAGATCATCGAGTCCAACCATGACCTAACCATACTACTCTAACAACCCTCCACTAAATCATGTCCCTGAGCACCACATCCAAATGGATTTTAAACATGTCCAGGGATGGTGACACAACCACCTCCCTGGGGAACCTATTCTAGTGCTTAACAACTCTTTCTGGAAAGAAGTGTTTCCTAATATCCTCAACTTAACCCTGGCTCAACTTGAAGCCATTTCCCCTCATCCTGTCACCTGTCACCAGTGAGAAGAAATCAAACCCGGTCATGCTGTAAGCACCTTTCCGATGTTGGAAGAGAGCAATAATGTCTCCCCTCAGTCTCCTTTTCCCCAGACTGAACATCCCCAGTGCCTCCAGTCTCTCATAGGGCATATTCTTCAAGCCCTTCACAAGCCTTCTTGCTCTTCTTTGGACCTGCTCCAGCATCTCCATGTCCTTCCTGTACTGAGGTGCCCAAAACTGAATGCAGTACTGGAGGTGAGGCCTCACCAATGCCGAGTACGGGGGCAGGATTACTTCCCTAGTCCTGCTCACCACTCCATTCCTGATATAAGCCAGGATGCCATTGGCCTTCTTAGCCACGTGGGCACACTGCTGGCTCATATTCAGCTGTCTGTCCATCAGTACACCAAGATCCCTTTCTAACAGGCAGCTATCCAGCCACTCCTCCCCAAGCCTGTAGGGTTGCCTGGGATTGTTGTGACCAAAATGCAGGACCCAACACTTGGCCCTATTGAAACTCATGCAGTTGGCCTTGGCCTATCAATCCAGTCTATCCAGGCTTCTCTGCAGTTCCCTCTTCCCCTCAGGCAGATCAACATTCCCTCCCAAATTGGTGTCCTTTGCAAACTTACTGAGGGTGCACTCAATCCCCTCATCAAGATCATTAATAAGGATGTTAAATAAAAGCTACCTCAGTACTGAGCCCTGGGGGACAGCATTCATGACCGGCAGCCAAAAGGATTTAACTCCATTGATCACAACTCTTTGGTCTGTGCCATCCAGCATTTCACCCAACGGAGCATACACCCATCTAAACCGTGGGCAGCCAGCTTCTCCATGAGAATGTTGTGGAGGACAGTGTCAAAGGCCTTACTGAAGTCCAGGTAGACCACATCAACAGCTTTCCCGTCATCCACTAAGCGGGTCACCTTGTCATAGAATGAAATCAGGTTTGTCAAACAGGCTCTATGGTTTGTAAACTCATGCTGACTGGGTCTGATCCCCTGGTTGACCTTTAATTGGCCCATGATGGCTCCTGAGATTATTCATTCCATTACCTTCTCAGGCACCAAGGTGAGACTGATGGGTTTGTAGCTTCCAGGATCATCTTTACAGCCCTTTTTGAAGATGGGTTTCACATTTGCCAGTCTCCAGTCCACTGGGACATCCCCAGTTACCCAGGAAGACTAAGGGGACTGAAACCATTTGCTATGACTGAAATTAGTATATTAGGATTACTTGTACTTGTAAAGAAATAACTCAGCTTCACCAAGAAGCACTTAGAGGTCAAACCAGGAATTGTTTATTCTTCACAATATAGAATAATAGAATTTCTTGGTTTGGAAATTCCAAACCCTCTGCTGTGGGTAAGGTTGCTACCCCCTTAAATCAGGTTGTCCAGGATTCCATCCAACCTGTCAATGAACACCTCCGGAGATGGGGCATCCACAGCTTCTCTGGGCAACCTATTCCTATGCCTAACCACACTATGAGTAAAGAATTTCTGCCTCACATCTAACTAAAATAACCTTCTTTTAGTTTAAAAACATTCCCCCTTGTCCTATCAGACCATGCAAAAAGACCATGTGAAAAGTTGATCGTCTTTTTTATAAGCTTCCTTAAGTACTAAAAGGCCAAAATGAGGCTCCCTTGGAGCCTTCTCCAGGATTAACAAGCCAAGCTTCTTCAACTTTTCTTTGGAGAAGAAATGCTGCAGTCCTTTGATCATCTTTGTGATCCTCCTCTGGGCATGCTTTGACAGCTCCACGTCTTTCCTGTGCTGGAAACCCTGAGACATGGAAGCAGTACTCCAGGTAGTGCCTCAGAAGGACAGAGGCCTCCCTCATCTGCTGGCCACCCCCTCCTGATGCTGTTCAGGAAACCATTGGCTACCTGGGCTGCAGGTGCACACTGCTGGTTCATGTCAATCATTTTATCCACCAGAACCCCCTGGTCCTTCTCCACATGGCTGCTCTCAGTGAGTTCTTTTCCCAGCATGTACAAATATCTGGCATTGTCCTGTAGCACCTTCCTCTTGACATTGTTGAAACTCATTTGTTTCACATGGGAAAACTTTTCAAGCTTTTCCAGATCCTTTTGGATAACATCCCTTCCTGCTGTTGTATCAACTGCACCACTCAGCTTAGTGCCATCCACAAACATGCTGAGGGTGCACTCAATCCCAACTATCCAGTCACTGATTGCAGCGGAATTCCTGAGTCACAGCCTGAACCAATATGTGAGCATGTGAGTGTCTGCAGCAGGGGGAGCCTAGATCCACCCTTCCTCTTTTCCACTGCCCCAGCAGTGATTCCAGGAGCGCTTGTGTAGTCTGAGTCTGTGCAGGTTTCCCCCCAATCCCCTTTCCCTCCTCCTGCTGCCTCATGTGTCAGAGATCAAAGTGAAGAAAACTGCATTCTTCAGCTCACCTTTTTTTCCAAACTGTTGCTGAGAGGGGTGAGTTAATTCCTCATTCTTTGACATTTTGTCCTACAGTGCCTGTATCTCAAATAAAGGCTCTGTCATAGCTTTTGTTTGCTTTATACCAATAAAAATGATGAAGAACACCAGTCCCAAGAAAGACCACTGGGGTAAAGCACTCATCACCAGGCTCAAGCTGGACGTAGAGCCATTGACTCTCCAAACAGCCAAATCCTTATTGACCAAACAGTCCACTCTTAAAACCCATATCTCTCCAATTTAATAACTCATTATGTAATAACACATGCTCTCACCTCCCATGTTTCCAGTTATGAGAAAGGAACCAATCATTATGGAAGACATTCAGGCATGATTTGCCTTTAAATTTCATATTGGCTTCTTCCATCCACCTTCTTGTCCTGCATTTAAAATGTCTTCTTCAGAGTTTTGCTCCCAAACCCTCCTAAATTCTTAGAATAGTCTCAATGGCAAGGAGTCTATATATCAGGAATTTCACCCAATCGCCCTGATCCTTCTGGAGTTGACTGTGAGCAGCCTGCTCCTTCAGCAGCCTCACCTGCATCCCATGTGGGCCATGAACTTGCATATGTCTACGTCAGCTGGTGACATAGTCCTCTACTTAGGACTCCTGCTTCACTGCCACAGAGTCCGTGTGTAGTATTAAGCAGCCCAGAATCTGCTCCCCCTGAAGCCTAAATTATAAACCAGATGACAGTCTCTATCACTGAGGTATGCAAATGCTAGAAATACAAAGAGCAGCAGGTGCTAAGCAGAAGACCACTTGCAGCTCTAAGCCAGGAAATGTCAAGTGCAATACAGAAAGTCCATCATTGAAATAAAACAAGCTGTACTTCACAGTTTATTTGTGGTGATGGGTATTTACTTCAGTCAAGAGAGCCATCATACTGCTGGGAAGGAAAGGGTAGATTTCTTCTACATTTAGGCTGATGGCAACAGGTCTATTTGTGATTTCTATGCTGATGCTTTTAATGAGCTATGAAATTGTACCACCTGAGCGAACTCATTAACATTCAAAATTATTTCAGCATTTTCCTTTTTTTATGCCGAGAGATCAGTAGAAAAGTCACTGAAACCGGCCGGAGTCATAAACACAGTGCAAGAAATCTATAAATTTGCTATAAAAGCATATTGACATCCAAGAAACTGGAGGTCTTCCAGTTTGACCTGCTCTCAAAATCTTACTTGCCAAAGTAAAGGAAATCTATGTTTGACATCATGCTAACAGGACCTGCACTAGTATAAATATGATTGTGGAATACTGCATTAAATACATATGTCAAATTATTTAAAAATTAGCTTTAATCTTGAGACAAATCTGTCATCTGTTACAACCTATTGTTCAAAGCAAGGTTGGACACAGCAGGTTGTTTAGGGCCTTGTTCAATTGGATTTTTAAAATTTCCAAGAAAATTCTACATAACATCTCCAAACAACATGTTCTGGTGTTTGATTATTCTTAAAGGAAAAAAAAAAAAACCAAAAACCAAACAAACATAGCTTCATAACACATCTGCAAACTGGTTTACTGTCCTTAACATGGCACAATGTCGAACGCATAACAACTCAAAGCAAACAAGGAAGAGAAACTCATTCCATGGAACTGATGAAAGTCTGAATAAGCTAAGTTTATTTTCTTTGAATACTGCATCAGATAATCCTTTTCCCAATGTACACTCTCTCTTCATTGTGGTGCATATTCTTTCTTGTTTATTCCACCACACACAAAATAGTATCCTATTTCCATACATCCAAGCAGGCTCTATAAAACTAAAATATTCTTTCAAAAGAAATTGCAAGCTATCTATCTTTGTGTTCATCTTAGCTGTCTCTTGTTCAGGAATCAGGATGAAAACTGGGTGAAAATATACTTACTGTGTGCCTTCTTACCATAATAACAAAATCTGACCTCTCCAACTAAGAAATTATGTAGCACAATTATCTGTAAGGGCATGTAGAAGCAGAGTGCCCATGCCTTTAAGCATATCTGGTCAAGGAGCTTTTCCAGTACAAAAGGGTGTAAGGTAATACGGTAGAGAAGAAGCCACAAGCAAACAAGAACATACAGGAATACCATCCTGGCTGACATGGTAAGGGAAGCAGTGATGAGAACAAACTTTATCAGTATTATGGACAAGGGCATGTACAAGTGTTAGAATGTTTGTTCCAGTAAGGTTATCTGATCCTGTCAGTTAGGAAACTAAAGGAAAAATGGGGAAACCAGAAACAAAGTATACAGAGATACAGACCTAGCAAAGCAAATGTGGAGACAATGACAAGAAAAAAAAAACTTGTTAATCATGCAAACTGATGGGCTATCTAGAAACTACAAGCACCACTTAAAGGAAGATCTGCATTTTCCACTGGTAAGTTGAAAGAATAAAGGCAATTTAAAAAAAGAGAGGATAAAAGGGGCTGACAATGTATGAAACAGAGCTGATCAGTATTCTAGTCAGACCTGTGACTCATCATCACATATCATCATATCTTCTTATTAAATCTTTCCTTGATTTCCTGAAATCTTTCCTGCATAATCTCACCTTCTATGCTGTGTGTGTGTGTGCCACAAGGACTATGTGCCAGGTACCAGTAAGACCTGTATGTGCGCAAGTGACTTCAGGTATAGGTATCAGACTAGGGGAGTAGTCTGGCCTCTGGTGACAACTACTGGACTGAGCAAGGGTCCTAGAATTAGTAGCTGGAGGAGCCATAAGTTGTGGATGTGAAAGAGATCAACAAAACCAGAGTGTCAGCTACTGGGGTCCATATGAGTGGACTGAGTGTTAGCTACTTGAGTCAGACTGGGAGTGTAGGCATTCGTAGCCTGTGGTGCCAGCTACTGCTGTGACTGGGTACATTGACATCAGTTAAAGGAATGAGGAAGGGTTTGAGTAACATTCTCAAGAACTAAGCCTGGAAAAAGGAAAACTTGCTCTGAAAACTCACAAGAATACCACCGCTGTGACCACACTATTTGCAATGAAATATGGCTTTCGTTTTTTTTGCAAAAAAAAATTTGATGTCTAGCGTACCTTGATGACATAAGTTTTTCTACTGCATAAATGACAGAAATTATGTAACTGAATTTTTGAGCAATGTAAGCAGATTCTGTCTTTGTTAAACAACGGCAAAAGAAATGCAATCATGCAAAAAAAAAAAAAAAAAATCTTATTTTGGCTGCTCAAAGATCAAGCCTCTGAATTGCCACACTAAACCAAAATTGTGTCACTTGAGAGAAGCAAGAAAAGTATGGGAGAAATACAAGTCTGTTACAGAATATTCTATCTCAGTCCCCACATTTTTTTCCTCTCTTTTAGCAGTAAAGCATAATAGATTAGACCTAATTTGAGGGAGTACACTATTTTGTACAGTACATAATAGTAATCACAATTACAGCAATGGTGCACATACTGAGAAAAGGAATTTTAAGTCTGACACATGCTCATTAGGCATAGGTAGCCAATTCAAAGCACATCAGTAACTGATAAGTCTCCTTCCTGAAAATAATTGCCAACTATGCAGATTGCATAAATTCCCTCTAGCTTTCCTGTTAGGGTCTCATTTGCTGATATGTTTTAACAAGGATCAGTACTGTCTTCAAACCACCAGCTGTGGCACTTAGCATAATCTGGAATTTAAGTTACTAATTCTAGCTAGTAAATTATGTATCTCAACTATAGCTTTGAAGTCAGTGCATAGCGAGGCACTGGGTATGAGGACAGTTTCTATACAAAAATAAAGCTAAAATCTTTTGGTTTTGCAAATTTTCACTTGAATACAAAAGTTTGTAAAAACTGTCACTATAAATGAACTAGAATGAATACTGACACCAAAATACTTTGAATGAAATGAAATATTTCAGCATAACTGGACACACAAGTTTTCTAAAAAGCAAAGCCGAAAGATGAAATTTGATATGATACAGAGATGAGATCATCTTAAAAAATATTAAGCCTATGTGAAAACATTCTGCAATAAAACTAACTGAGTAAGAAAATTTTACCTCAAGTATGACACATGAGAGAAGAGCATGCTCTTTTACAAAGGTGTTAAAAGAAAATGGAAGAAAAATTTGACAACATGTAACAGTAATTGACAATAGCAACTTCTGTTTCCCATAATCACACCAAATCTCTTTTCATTTTTTTAACACTCCTTAGTCCAAAAAAAAAAAAAAATTTCTTCCTCTTTCAATGTTCCTTTTATTAAGCCCAACTATTTCTTGTACTGGTTACCATTACCTTTCTGGATTTTACTTGCACTTATAAATCTCTCTCCCCTTACCAGCAAGAGGAAGACATAGTTTAAGTATCAACATTCATCAGCACAAAGATAATCACTGGTAATCAGAAAGCACATTCAATAAGAGCTGAAACTACAATTGTGCAGTGATTTGGTAAGATAAAGATTCTGCCATTTGATTTAATTAAGTAGTAAAAAAGAGAACAGAATACGAACTATTGGAAAAGATACTTCAGTTGATCAGCTGATATTTTGTGACTATGAGACCCTTAAAAAAAGAAAAAAATAAAAAAAAATAAAGCTTTGCTTCCTAGTTAAAGATCAGTACAAACTTCAGAAGAAATAAAAGAACAAATCAAAGTGACAACAGCATGAGTTTCTGCTAGTTTCATGAAGGACGTATGCCGTAGACTACTGGTTAAGAATAAAATTCAATGTAACGAATGTAACTAAAAACTCTCTATATGATGTGCTATTTTACACAGCGTGGGAAACAGTGTGCACAGCTAGCATATTTATGAATCAAACATGAACCATGCTTCAACTGTAGGACCTGCAGTTCTCAGCTGGAATCAGAGATCAAATATTCATCTAAGATAAAGAAAAAAATATGCATCTTTATCTCAAACGGAAAACCTTCTATAAAGTTATAAATTTAAACAGGCATCCAATTTGCACAAGTTCCGTTGACAGCTAAAGATAACAACAGAAGGGAAAAGGATGAGACATCAGAGACAGTTAGGAAGCCAGATACGTAGTGAATTTTAAATACAACCATTGTTCCAATAAGTCTGTTAACGATTCCATGATAAACCAATGAAGATTAGTCCCTACCTGCCTTAATGCTGTCTGTAAGGATTTGTTACATAGCCAAAGGTAAGCTTGAAGAAGCATGGAAGGCTTAATGAATCCGTTTTTATGTTTCATTATGTTCATAGTGTTCCTCATTATGTCTCTTAGCAAATAAAATCACTAGGAATACAATTTTATGGCAAATCAGCTAAGATTTCAGTACATATCATAGTTACAGCTCCCTTCTTCGAACTCTTATTCATGTGTTTGGATACTTACATATGCTGCTTATAGTTTCTTCTGTCCTTTTTGTCAAAAACACTCCTTAATTTTACAACTACACAAATTAGGAAAACCTATCTAAACATATGTTATTAAAACCTTTTTTTATTGAGGTGTTAAAAAATGAAAGAATGACATCTTTTGAAAAGTTTTGTTGTTGGTTTAACTTTGTGTTATTCGCAGTGAAGTTAACCTATGCCATCTTTGGTAACAGCAAGTAAATCAGCACTGAGTGCTTCTTAAACAGTGATCAGACAAGATTATGTAATCTGCATGCAAATACGTGCATGCACATACATACTACAATGACATGGCAAAAATGCAGAGCAAGAACTCAGAAAGGTATATGGCTGTGATGACATCCCAGCACTGAACAGCTACAAACCACATGAGCCCTAGGGCATCATTTTTGTCAAAAGCAAACTCGAAATTGTAGTGAAAGAGTTTTGTAACCAAGCAAGGATATAACTGAAGCTTACCTTCAAGCTAAATGTAGCAGCTTTGTTGATCATTAGGTCCTGTACATCTTGAAATGTGCACTACAAAACACACATACATACATATAGGAGAAGGTTTGGATTTAAGTCCTACAAACAATCTTTATAAAAGGTTTGTTTAATCACAGAGCTACAGTATTACAAGCATATTATTATCACACACATAACTACTTGCAACATATTTTCAAGAACTCAGAACATAAGTCTCGTCTTTGAACAAAAACTTACTAATGCATTCACTAAGCAATTTCAGACTCGTAATACTCCCTTACATTGTAAAAAGGCATTAGTGAAGTTTGTTTACAAATTTTTAAAAGTAGATGGACAATCTCTCTTAAATGTTTAACAGCTTCATAAACGTATACTAGCTTTTCTTTCACCTCTGTCCTTTCACAGTTTGGGCTTTCATGCTGTTGTTTTCGTGAAAGGAAAAAAAGTACCAAAAAGACACAAATATTCAGTTCAGCTTCATTAAACTTAACAGAATTCTATTAAGTACTCAGGATAGATTTGGTTGGCGTCAAAGATAACAAATATCTTTGGATTCCAAGTATTATCCACACAGCTGTCATACAAGTTCACAAAACTTCCATCTCTTGAAGGAGGCCTCATGTATTTCGAATCACCATTGATATAGTCGCCAGTTAATACACGAGCAAGAAACATGACTTTATCTGGTTTGTGCAGATGAGGCTGCAGATTCACACCATGAATTTGGAAAGTATCTCCATGCTTCATATCCTCTTTGCAGAAACGACTGGAATATGATGCATCTCTTGCAAAGTAGGTCCCTTTCAAATAAAAAGCAAATTCTTATTATATTCTTATCATGGTAGGTTAACTTCTAACGAACAAGTAGGTACCAGGATGATGAAAAAGTCTGTTCTTTCCTATTTGTTAGCAATCCAATGACTTTTTCTGACATCATGATAATCCAATCCTATGTTGGCTAACAATGTCAGAGGTATGAATCTATGCTGATGGTATGACATTAGAAGTTGAAAATTCTCACCAATATTCTGTTAAATTCTACTGTCACGTGACAAATGGATGCAGAGCGCAGTCTGACAAAATGGTGACTGACAAGGAAGTGTGTTATGAAGCAAAGGTGTGTCATTGAATTCCTCCATGTAGAAAAAAACCTTGCACCCACTGACATTGTTTGCATCTTACTGAATATTTATGGAGACCAAACAGTGGATGTTAGCAAAGCGAAGCAGTGAGTGGTGCATTCCAGCAGTGGTGGCAGCAAAGTTTAAGACAGGCCAAGTTGCAAATGGCCCTGGACAACATGTGCAAGTTTGTCAGGACCTATGGAATGAGGCTGAAGGTGACAGTTTCCTGGATCACATCATTATTGGTGTCATGAGACATGGTGTCACCAATGTGCACTGGAGTCAAAACAGCATACATGGAGTGATGACACGTGAATTCCCCATTGAAGAAAAAGTTCAAGAAACTGCCCTCAGTAGGTAAAGTGATACGGACTGTCGTTTGGAATAGGGAAGGGGGGATCCTTCTGAATTTCCTAGAAACCAGACAAACCATCAACTCTGACCGTTACATCGCGATGCTAAGTTGAAGACTCAAACTCCCAGAGTCAGGCCAGAGAAGAGGACAAACTTTCTCTTGCAACACGGTAACACCAGGCCCTGTACTAGTTTGAAGACCTTGCTGCAAATTGCCAGTCTTGGCTGGACTGTCCTACCATACTCATCATATAGTCCAGATTTGGCACCTTCCTACTTCCATCTGTTCAGGCCAATGAAAGATGGATTGCATGGGCAGCATTTTTCCTATCAACAACATTATCACAGCAACTGTGAAATAGTAGGTCACCTCTACTGGTGTCAATTTTTATGAGTGCAGTATGGAGGCTCTTGTTCATGGCTGGTGACTAATGTTGAAAAATAGTGCTTTGTAGTGAAGAATGTGCTCTATCAAACTGTGTTATTGTGCTCTTTGGATCCGTTGTAGTTTCTATGGAAATAAATAGGAAGCATTACTTTCAGAGCAACCTACAGAACATGAGCAAGTATTTTGCGTGAACATTTTAGCAGGGAGACTTTCCTTGTGAACTACACTGCTTTGCAGTTCACCCTTCATCCACCCCACTCCCAAGTCCTACCTGACAGTTACACTGATTACATTATTCACTGTATTCTTACTTTCTTCATTTATCTCCATCTTAATTTACATCTTTTACTTGATGTAAAAGCAGAGCGATATTAAATGTCTCTGTAAAAACACAGGAGTACACCACAAAGAACATCCTATAAGGAACACTTAATGTTGAACAGTTCAGACTGCCAAACTGCAATATGTGAAAAAATATTTACCTTTTCCATATACAGCAGCATGCATTCCATTTATTCTCCAGTCAAAGTTATGAATACATATTGCTTCTACAAATTCATTACTGGTGCCATGAAATAACATCTGCTCATTAATAGTTGTCACACCTCTCTTCTTCTTCAGTTGGGCTTTCTTCCTGCAGAGAACATGCAATGCAACATTATAAACATTTGTACAAAAACAATTAAGTTCCTACTCTGAAAATACTGCAGAGAGGTGACAGACTTAAAACTTCATAAATTTCACCTTTGCAAGTGTCTATATGATTTCATATTTTAAAAGAGATTAGAATTCTTAAGGTACATGTTTAGAAATCATATCTGGATGTTGTAGGCTATTTTCAGAAGTAATCTAAGGTTAGGATAAAAGGTCCTATAAAAAATTTTTATCAATTCTATTTATGTGATAGGCTCAGTACAGACATTTTCTGCACATACACTCAGGAAAAAAAAAAAGTGTTGTTTTTGTTCTCTTCAACTGCATAAACTGCATGGTTAGAGGGATAACAATCTTAGTGGATTATAATTATCCCAGTAAAATAACAAAACCATTAAAAATAAAAGTATCTAAATGTTTAGGCAAAATTACCAACATGACCATGGTTTTCTGAATTTGTGGTTCTCATACTTTCTAGAAGAGCCAAGTCTTATGCTATACCGTTAAAGAATTTTGGAGAGAAGGGGGGGGAAAAAAAACAAGACAACAGATGAGCCTATATTACAGTCTTATGAGCAGAAGGCCATGGAACACATACAAAACTGAGATGTATCATAGCTTCATTCTTGTCTATGTATCTGAATTTTCTATGCATTAAAACCACAGTGTAGCTGCAGGAAAAAAAAAAAAAAAAAAAGCAGGTTTATCAAACTAAGCAATCTGATTATAACTTTAGCGCAGATATGAACTGGGGAGGCATTCTCAGGGCCTACAGCTTAGATACATCAATCTCCTATCAACCAAGTCCAGAGAAAGAGAGAGGTGGTAAAGATTTGCCACCATATTAAAGGCATTATATTGCAATTAATTATGATTTATTAATAAATACATTTCAAAGGAATTGACATCTTGCACTACTTTGCTTAAAAATATGTTTAAATTGTCTTATTTTTAAGCTGTCATATTTTTATTTAGTATGAATTAACTAGCTAAAAAGTGTCTTTACAACTTTTTAAAAATTATTTTAGAACTGTTTTCCAAATCCAAAGAACATCAGTATAAAGTCAAAAGCTTTCACAAATTATCTAATTTGTGGCATTTTATGTCAGAGGCAGAGAGGTCCCAGTCACTCAAGTTCCACTCTGTAAACATACTGACAAAATGAAGGAGTCAAGATTCCTTTTATCTTATGAAAAACACCTATGTGAAGAAAAACTTCCGAGCTAAGGGCTACCATCGATGAATATTTGAATATTTTCCAGTCAGTCTCCCTCTGCTGCTGGCTGGTGTTTCTAACAAAGTAAAAAGTCAGCTTCAACTTCTGATTAAATAGAACGCATTTGTTCCAAGAAAAATGTGAATAATCGATTGTCCACAAACATTTTCTAACAGTCCTTCACATCTCCAACCAATTGATTTCATAATTTAAAATCTGATAATACAGTAACTGTTAAAACAGACAAATATGTTCTGATGATATTGCAAACAACCATTTAAGCAATGCTCATATTTAAACACGGCCCTTATCAGTGAAAGAAAAAACACTTTTTCAAAACACAAACGTAAATAGCAAATCTTTCTCATAGTAGAATATCCGGAGGGTACTGGAAAAACTGGTTCTACAGAGTGCAGAAATGCCACAGCCTTTTTTTGTTGTTGTTGATTTGAAACAGAACTCAGTTCTATCTCTAAGAGTTCAGCCACTCTAAAAATCATCTTCTTAGCACTTTTCACCAGCAGAGAAAAACTAATCCAGCAAAACAAAATTAAGCTGATCCACCACACAAGCAGGCTCTCATACAGCCAGTCCACTCAATAAAGGAGAAACCTAAAGCAAAATTAAATACCTAGTAACATGCTGCTTGTATACATGCCAGCACGCAGGCTGTTTCTATACAAGGGCAACAATCTCATGACCGAACATCCTTTGCTATTTGCTCTGCTCCTCTGCAATTCCAAACCGAGATGCATAAATCTACATATGCTAGATCAAGAGTAATCCTTTGTTATTTTTGCAATCCCTCATGAGACACCAGAAGAATTTTTAGTGAATTTCAAATGCTGTAATGCCCGCTTTTTGTAATATAATACACACCAGTGTGCGTAAGCCCATATAGCCCAAATGGCAGAACACTAACGTATAAAAAGCTGTATTTTACCTCTCAAATGGAGGGACAAGAAAGGCACTTAGACCTCAATTGCATATACATATTTTAGCAACCTTTATTACGCTTTATTAAGTATTTTTGCCATAAAAGAAAAATGTTTTAAAATGCATTTTTCTCCATATACTTTTATAAAGGTAAAAGTACTAAAAAGTATCTTGATTCATAGTTCTATAGCAACACACCTGATGTGTAAAAACTCTTAATGTAATACTCCTCACATATGAAATTCAAATTCTCATTGTCAGTTTTGTACTTTAAAAACATCTTAGCATAGCACCCATACCTTCCAGGTTCTTAAGCCATGAATTTGTCTCACTCATTGATTAGCCTGGTAAATGTTCTTCAAATTAAATCTGTTCCTTATGTAAGCAAACAAGTTCTCTCCCCACCTCCCCATCCCTGCCCCTATCAACTACACTGGAGACACAGACGACATTTAAAGTCTGCTTGCTATTTCTTGTCTCAAAAACTGACGTATTAAAATGGTATAAATATATCTACAGAAACTTATTTATAGAAAGGTGACTGTTAAATCACAAGGCCAAGCAAATAAGCCTTAATAATTAAATCTTGATACTAGGAAAGAAGTAGAAAGGGAATTTCACTACTTCTAGTTCTTCCAGGCCAACACAAATTTGAAGAAATGACATGAATTCATGCTAACTGGACATAACTCTGCCCTGTGTTTCATGAAGTTGAGAAATTAGACAAATCACAAATATTCTAATGGCCACTACAAATTCAACACATAAAAGCCAGTAAAGAAAAAAAAAAAAAACTTACTTTTTTTCTCCTTACTTTATTATGAGAAAGTGTGGGTCTCTACCATGTGGATATTCTGAACACTCATCACATTTGAATACAGTAAACTTAGACTTGGAGGAGTTACAAAAAAAAAAAACAAACAACTAGTGCCATCCTTGTCAACCCAGCCAAATTATATTGATAGGTTAAAAAGTCTACCTGCTGCTATTCTCTCATATTCTTTACCACTTGACCAACAAGTTACTGCTTAAATGCTTGCTATCCTTAAAATCAGTCATGAAACTAAAAAACCTCAGCATCACATTATTAGGAGAAGCTGACATTTCTACATAGATAGTAATACCTTTGCCTTTTACAATGAAATAAAGATCATATCAAACTGTTTACAAAAATACTAGAAATGTCTTTCTCAATATTTTCGAAGAAATTAAAGTTACTTAAAGAGAATGAATACAGTACCAAATGCAGCACAATCATCATTATTTTTTTGAATCTTGGAATAATTAATTTTAATAGGGCTAGAAAGTCAGAGCTTGATTCCCTATGCTAAGGTTATGATTAATTTCAGTCCCACCCCAGAAGCCCTGAAGTTAACAACTGTGTACTTCATGCTTGTGATAGTAAAGACATTCTAGAAAAAAGGAAAAAAGCTTCTCAAATGACTTGGAGCACTATGCCCAAGCCACCTGAGGAAAAAGAACTGCCAATTGTGCAGCTATGCGCGTAACAGAGGAAACAGCCGTTCTCCCTCCTGCTCATATGCTCCCTTCAAGAATTGGAAGGCCTCCAAGAACAAGGCCTTCAAGTACTGGAAGTCTCCCCAGAGCCTTCTCTTTTCCAAACTAAACAAGTTGGAAGCCCAGTTCCCTCAACCTTTTACTCATAGGAGAGGTGCTCCAGCCCTCCAATCATCTTAGCGGTTCTCCTCTGGACCCACTCCAAGAGCTCCACATACTTCCTATACTGGGGGCTCCAGGCCTGGACACAGTACTCCAGATGGGGCCTCACAAGAGCTGAGTAGGGAGGATCCCTACCTCTCTCAGCTGGCCACCCCTTTTTTCATGCAGCCCAGAACCACAGCTGGCCTTCCGGGCTGCAAGCGCACACTGCTGGCTCATGTCCAGCTTCTTGTCCACCAGGACCCTCAAGTCCTTCTCCACAGGGCTGCTCTGAAGATGTTCCCCCAGAATTTCAACATATTGCAGTGCATCACTTTCATCTTTGCTACATATATATGTAATACTTATATAACTGCATTATAGTTCTGCCCTTGTAGAAGTCAGTCTTCAAAGTTGTTTTCATGACTGTCAGAGATTGATAAATAAGCAAATAAAGAAAAATAATAAAACTAACACATTTTAATTATATAATAACAAAAGTAACACATTTTAATTATAAAACTATAAAAGTAATTAAGCATTTTTTTTACTGAATGCCTTGCTCTGTTAACAATCCTAAAACTGTTGGTTTTAAAAATAATCTCACCTGCAAAAAAACTCCCACAAGTCTAGATTTTGTATTCTCTTTATTCTTTTTATTCGGTGGCTATCCATTGTTTTTCCAAAGAGATTAGAAACTTCATTGTATTCATTTGTTTTCTTTTGCAAAGGAATAAGCTGGAAAAAAAAGAAGTTAGCACAATTACAACATGATGTACTATTTCATTATGTGTTTTTCAACTTGCACCGACTCTTACCTGATATGGCTCCTCAGGATTTACGTTCTCCCAGTGTGAAGGCATAGGGATGGACTCATTTTCACAGATGAAACTTCAAATAAAAAAATGGTAAGAGCACATCACAACAAGGACAAAAAGCATTTTCCTATGAACTCTTTCTCCAAACAACAGAGTATGCACCCCCACCCCTCCTCATAAATCCCAACCACTTAACACAAAACTACTTAGTGTTTAATACTGAAAAAGCCTGTTGTCAGCAGCTAAGGTCAAAGGTAAAGATCTTTCTTTGTGTTCAAATTACGGCTTAGTTTATTACAAACAGTGGTAATATGTTATTACATCATCTGTCCAACAAGAGATACAAAGTTAAATTAAAAGGAATAGTCAGAGATATCTGCAACATCAGGAGAGCAACACTAATCTAGAAACATGAGTGCAGATATAGCCTGAACATTTCTATGTGTCAAGAATTAAAACTACTCTAAGACTCTGAAAACTGGGCCTTCACTGGGCCAGTAATCTGAAGTCACTGTGTTAGATATACATATTAGAAAATTACATTAGATTAGAAAAGAAAAAGAAAAAAAGGAATTTTAAGCATGTACATAGCAACTTTAGGCCTGAAAACAGACAGTAAATGTAGCAATCTTAAAGTGTAGTGTCAGCATGTGAAAAGAGAGTATGCTGAATGAATCAGAAGTATTAAAGGAAATTCTTCAATAAGCATAAAAAGTTGAATTGCAAGATTACTGCATGTACACTTCAGGAAACACACAGTGAAAAACAGCTGACACTTCAAAAAACAAATAAACAACAACAGCAAAAAAAATCCCAGCCCATCCTAAATGCCAATGTTAAGTGATTGCTACTACATTTCTTATTACAAATGTCAAAGTTCTTTTAAAAAATACAATCAGATAATAATTAAAAACTGAGATTTTGTTTAAAAAACATTTAGAAAAAGTAACCCACAATAGAGGTGGTCAATTTTATCTGTAGCACTATCACTGAGTTTGCTAGCTTTTATTGACTATCAGATTACATCAGAAGAGCATTATATCATCACAATGTTCCTTCTAACTAATTTAGGAAGTCATTGTTACACTGGAACAAACTACTCCATTTCTTTCTGCTGCTGTTCCTCCAATTCTCCAACCAGCAATTCTGATTTTACAGGTTAGTTACTGCAAGGGAATCCAACAGGTGAAGTCAGGTACAAATTTAAGCAGCTTGCAGAAGGATATCAGTATTCAGTACGTCTTGCCTCTCCCACTACAAAATCCTTATTTTCTCAATAAATAAAGAAATAAATAAATGAAACCTTTTGTTATTCTCCCTCTAAAATTTCTTCCTTTTTTACTTGACTTGCTTTCTCCCATTTTCAAATTGTTTGACAAAGAAAGTAAATAAATATACACAGTCCACATAAAACATATTTTTGTTTCATTTTCCTTTGAAAAGTCAGAATTAAAATCAAAATCAGGATTAAAATCAAAATCAGGAGGCTTCATTTTATTTCCTTACCTGAAAGCACTGATAGAAAAGGGAGCTCGCTTTATTGGACGTTGTTTAAGGGTAGTTAGGTTGGTTTGTTTCATCTCTGAGCATAAAACAAGAGTTAGGATAAATGTTTCTGGACTTCATCTATAGCATATGGTCATTTAAGAGTCTTTTTTTTTTTTTCTTTTTCAAACAACGTTACTACATCAAAAGCTGCTTGAAAGGAATTCATATTTCAACAATTAGTAAATCAACATCGTAGATAAAAAAAACTCAAAATACTGGCCTCAGTATTAAGTGTTATTTATAAGAGTTGACAAAAATTGCAAATACTACACAAAGCAAATGAAGTGGTATATCTGACATCTTTGTTATTTAAGTTAATCCTATGAATATACATACCTGAAAAGTCTAGTGTGTAGTTAAATTTTGCAGTAGTAAAAGAAACAGAACCATATGGGTTTGTTCTGAAGCTCCTTTCAATATCTTCACTGCTAACTGAGCAATGACTATTTGAATCAGTCTTCAAAATAAACGAAAAAGTACATTTAGATGTTTTCAGCAATAAGTTGTTTGACATACAAAAGTCACAAGTAATATAACTTTGTAGTTACCTGAAACATATGCCATTTACCACACTCAGCCAAATAAAACCAGCCCCACTGAGTATCAGAGGTATCCATCTCTTCAACAGAACTTTCCATCTTTGGAAAAAGGTCTTCAGATGTTCTTTGAAACATTTCCTGAAATATTCACACGCAAAGTTTTTTATGATACTCTTTGTGAAAGTACATTATTTGAGAAATTCATTAAAGAATAAAAAAGAATAATAATAAAAAAGTGAATTTACAACTCTTAAATAAAAAAAAAAAACATGGTTTGGGTACTTTCTCTTTTACAGAGGAAATGTCTCTATTTTCTACTTATTCAGTATTATCCCTTATGTTAGTTAAACATTTTTAAAGCTAACTCTTTCTCATATGTCCATAAGCATGCCCAGCCAGAAGAGAGCTATATGCTTTAACATATCAAAGAAAGGTACTACATTTTATACTGATAACCCTATGACAAGCTATTCTTATAATGCAACAGGGTCAAAGGTACTACTTAGGAATAAGGTGTTGGGGTTACATGATAACTTGACAAAAACATCTACTAGATACTCACCAGGCATAAATAGATCATACCGGTTGTTGAGATGTTACAAAAAAAATAAGACACTAGAGTCCATGGTGCACTGCTCCTCAACATTGCTTAACTTAAAAAAGATACAACAAAATTACCTGGCACTCTGTTCTGGTACAGTGGTTCACACTGGAAAAAAACAGAGGCTTTCACACACACTATTACCACCATAGTGAGGGTTCTTCAGGATGAGGGGAAAAAAGGACAGGGGAAGAGTCACAACACAGGTCTATAAAATTATGGCAAAACTGAGTAGAGAATAACTGATGACATTTTCTTTCTACATGAAAAACATACATCAAAGTTTGCATGTGTTAAGTTCACAACAATCTAAAGAGAAACTTCTTCATAGCAGAGATGGCAAACTACGATATTTCTTTCCGCAGCATGTTGTGGATATTGCAAGTTTATGTGAGTTTAAAAAGTAGCTAGGCAAGTTCATGCCCACCAACAGCTATGCCAGTATGCCTTTAGAATAATCCTAGTCAGTTCCCTTCCTCGTTCAACAATAAAATCCTGAAAACCCTGAAAGTACTTGACTTTAATTACATATACATCTTAACATACCAGCTCCATGCTTGAACCCCAAAAACATCAAATATGAAGCACTGGGGGAACTTTCAGAGGAAGAAGTATGACCTCCTCCCAGACAGTACTAGCAAATCATCTGGACAAACTGCTTAACCATGACTGGCACTCTTCCCAACAGTTTCCTCAACTTAACTTTCTCTTTCAAGAAGTAGAACAATGCACTCTAGTATAAATAAGTTAAATAAAGTACAGTTAATATCCTGAATGCTTTAGTTCTTTCCTGAACACTTCAACCCAGAAAAAGGTACAGAGCAACCTGAAAAATGCATACTAGAATCTACAAGTAGGCACCAACTGGCCAGTTCTGCTGAGGCAGGAGTTCAGTGCAGAAAACTGCTAGCACCACCCTGCCTTATTTGCTCACTGTGGTTGTTGCAGAAACAATCCTAGAAGCCTCCTCATGGACACAGCTCTGCATCCCAAATGAGGAATGATTGTTCATCGTCATAAGCTTCAAAGGACTATAAAAACATAAACAGATACCAGGGGAATCAGAGACAGATCTTCTCACATCTCTAATATGCAGAATTTGTGAGCAAATCTACTTAAGAACAAAAGGAAGCATGCAAATCTACCTATATGAACAGCTTAAGCAAAATATACTAAAGGTACATCAGCTATGTGGCAAAAATACTTTGTAACCGTAAGAAAACCATGCTCTGTTCCATTCTTCACAACAATACAAAGCCATAGAGCCTACGTTCACTTGGTATTAAAGCACAATTGGCCAAGATCTTTTGATGATCAACTTCCACCTTCAACTTGATTCTTCTGATTACATGAATATTTGGCCCTGTTCTCTTCTACAGGCTGATGTACTGTAGTGTACACACATTTTTACAGCTAAGAGGAACACAATTTAGACTTTTTGGGTAAACTTTGGTTTCCTCATATTTCTACCAAAACTGTCAGATCGCAGCTACATGCCAACATTAGTTCAGGGCCTTGAATTTAATCATTCAAATCAGTACTGGCTTTCAAAAAAGTTACGAACACTGAAGATATATTCACCTAGACAATTTTATGCATCTGGAAGGAACACAGCTTCCAGAATAAACTACTGATGAAAGACCTAAGTACTCCCACAATTTTAAAAATTCAGACCATAGGCACTACCTTTAGACAGGAAGTTCAGGGTAAACAAGTAGATTTCAGATACTTACTAAGTAAGGAAGAATGACCCAAATCTATAAACACAACAGAATGCTGTTCTCAAAAAAGATATAAATGCAAAATTCTTGAAGAAAATTACTCAGCTTATCGATGAATTTAACCACCATGTATACACGATTTATAAGGCACATGTAACTTTTTGTCCAAAAGCTATGAACACATGCATCGTGAGCAGAAATATGTCACCAGATTTTCTGGATGACAGGATGTCAAGTATCAAAGATGCAGCAATGAGAATTTTATTAGCAATGCTATTTCTAACAAAAGTCAATTCACATTAATATCAACTTTAAAAATGGCCCCAGGTATGCCATAAACACCCTAAAGGAAACACTACTACTTTTGACAACAAAATTCTCCTTCTAAAGAGAACTCACTTGTGTGCTGTGCTACGACTAGTGTGGCTTTATTATTACTGCTAACCCAATTTACCTATTAGTTCTTTTAAGCTTGAATAAGCATGTTTTATGGCACATCTAGATGGGCTGCTTTCTATTGGTGTCCTTTTGGCAGATTGTACTTTATTGTTGAAAGCTGCTTTGCCTACAGACATTATCTAATGCCCTGATGTAAACACATGCACCATGGCCTGTGGCCTCTCAGGAAACATGGTACGTGATCGGGTGACTTATAATTAAATAAGAGTTCAGGGCTGGGAAGTGGAAGTGAGGAGGAAGAACTGCATTAGCACAAGTACAGGGAACACCACGTGATAACCTCCGGAGCTCTATCACCATTTCTCCCGTTACAGTACAAAGAGACACTACTGAAAGGGAGAAAGCATTAACCCACACACGGCACCACTATCTCCCCATTTGTCTCCCGTGTTCTCCCGAAAAATGGAGAAGATGGCGGCCTATACCACCATCCCCTCTTCCCCGACGTTGCAACGCTGTCGCTCCCCACGCCTGCGGCGGGTATGATGGAGTGAGGCAGGGCCGGCCAGGAAACGGCAGCGCGTAGCGAGGAGGCGGGTGAGGAACATATGGAAAGGAGCGGCCATTTCCCACGTCCCCCTCCCGCGCGCACTCACCGCATCTGCCGCCCACCCCGAGCTCGCTCCCCACATGTTGGCCGGAGAGTGGGGAGGAGTGTATGTGTTGGGGGAGGAGGCGGGGAAGAAGGAAGCAGCCCAAGCGTAGCAGTGCAGGTCACGTCACTGCTTACACTCCAGACGCTTCCGTTACCGAAGGCAGAAGAAAAGGGAGGGGCAACAGTTGTTACTGGCAACGCTATATCGGATCGTCACAGAGAGGCGAGGCCTGGTATGCAAATTTTTAGCGGAGTAAGCGGGATTGAAGTAATAGGCAAGGGAGCGGTTGTGTTTGATTTTGTATCGTGCCACAAAGAGACAGGGCAGTGAGTGACGCTGTGTGAAACTGTGGCTTTGCAAGCGGCTGTATGGGCTGGTCTCCCTGGAGCAGCTGTGTGACACTGGTTTGTCAGTTGTAGGTTGTTTGGCAGTCTTTTAACTACCTTCTGATGTTTTCTTTAAATTATTGGCTGTATTTGTGGATAGGAAAGGGTCTTCCTCTCTGCAAAGGATTTTTCACAGCCCATAATTTTCCTTATGAGCCTTTATATATATTCTTCGCACGTAGCAATTTAATGGACTCATACTGTGTCACCATCAGGTAAGGCAGTAAAAATGGCAGCTCTAAGAACATTATCTAATGAAAATAACAATAAAAGCTGCAGCCTATTGCATTATCCATCAAGTGGACCTTCGGAATTTGAAAAATGGACACTCTGTGGGCAGCTTTACCCTATAATCAAGTTCTAGAAGTGGCAGCAGCTCTAGGAAGGACTTCTGGTAAGAGGACATACTCATACATGTGCCTTACTCCTTCAAGGGGTCCTTCAAGGGAAATCTCTAGGATGAGAGCTGCTGAGTGGAAGAGCTGTCACTGACCAATCCATAGATGTATGCTGCAGTCTTTGGAAACTGTGCTGGAAGCTTCCAGATAGGCCATTGTGTCATCTGAAATCTGGGAAGAAAACTCTCCAACTCCACTATGGTGTTAGAAAGGAGCATTCCTTTATTCCTCACAATACAGTAACATACCAGGTGACTTGACAAGAAAGTGCACCCTCTCAGAGTTCAGTTTCTACATTTGAGCAGCTAATACATGCTATGCAGTACATTGGCATACATATTCATTCTTTTTCAAGAACTCATAAATATGTGCTAATATCCCTTTGGGCATGCTCAGTGGTATCTAGGGTAGTTTAGTTTACCTGCTTCTTCCCCTCTTTTCACCATCAGCTTAATCACTGAAGCCTTTGGCTCACTTCCATCCACTTTTCCCCAGTTTGGAAGATTTTCATTGCTTATTAGGCCATAGTGAGCCACTTTTTAAAAAATCAGTGTATGTGCAACACAGTGAAAATGTCCTTTGCACATTCTGAAGCAAAAGATAGAAGTATTCTATTGTGACTCCAGTACTTCTTGTGAGGCAAAATCATAGAGGCAGAAGATAAAAGTAATCTGTTATGTCCCCAGTGCAAAATTATTGAGGGAAAACAAGACTGTTCACCCACTAAAGCTGACACGGAAAGTTAGAACTATCACTTATGAATTCCTTTTGCTAAACTAATATATTGGTTCTTAAACTAATGTATTAATCCCTATTGCTAAAAAAAAAAAAAACAAAAAACAAAAAAAAAAACCAACCTATATCAAATGTTGTAATATTGTGCAATGTTTGTAAAGTATGTCCTGCTGTGAAGGATTTTCATTGAGCAACTGTTGTAGATTAACCTCAGTATTCAGCCAAGAACCACACAGCTTCTTGCTAACTTCTCTGCAATGTGATGTGGAAGAGAAAGGGAAGAGTATATGCGTGAGAACTTGTAGGTTGAAATAAAATGTCTAAAATGTATGAAAGAGTTTGATGGATAAAGCAAAAGCTGTGTTCACAAAGCAAAGCAAGATGAGGAATTCATTTACTACTTTTCACTGGCAGGCAGATGTTTCCAGCACAGCAGCACAGACCATGCATATCAGTTTCTTGGGAAGATAATGTCCTCGTCTTACATCTCCCTGCAGCCCCATTCCTCTTCCTTTCATCTAGCTTTAACAGCTGAATATGGTGTTTTACAGTATGTAAATTTCCCTTGCCAGTTTGGATCACCTATACTGGCTATTTTCCCTGCCAGCTTCTCGTGCACCCCTGGCCGTCATGCTGGAAGGATGGTGAGAGAAACAGAAAAGACCTTGGTGCTGTGTAAGTGCTTAAGTGCTGTTAAGAAACAACTGAAACATTAATGTATTATGACCACTCTTCTGATCACAAATCTAAAGCATAGCACCATACAAGCTTTGCTGAAGAACATTATCTCAGCCCAAACTGGTACAGTGGAAAGACAAAAGCAGCAAAGGATGGATTTAAAGTCATAAAATCATAGAATCATTAAGGTTGGAAAGGACCTCTGAAATCACCTAGTCCAACTGTTCACCTATCACCAATATTTCCCACTAATCCATGTCCCTCAATACCACATCTACATGTTTCTTAGACACCTGCAGTGACAATGTCTCCATCACCTCTGTGGGAAGCACGGTGCCTGACTACTTATTCTAAGAAGAATTTTTCCTGATGATGAGTTTCTTATATTCTAAGGGAGTGTCGGGCAGATAAGTGTCAAGATTCTGGCTGACCTCACCTTTGAGATAAAAAGTTATTTTTTTCTGAGTTAAAAGATTGAACAGCACCTCGTGAATCACTGAGGGTATTTCACTACGATGAATGCAAGGCTTCAAGAATGGAACAATTTTCCAAGGATTATCACCTTACCTGTTGCAAAATACATTTTTTTTCTTTTCTTTTTTTCTTTTCTTTTCTTTTCTTTTCTTTTCTTTTCTTTTCTTTTCTTTTCTTTTCTTTTCTTTTCTTTTCTTTTCTTTTCTTTTCTTTTCTTTTCTTTTCTTTTCTTTTCTTTTCTTTTCTTTTCTTTTCTTTTTTTTTTTTTTTTGCTTTTTGTGTAAAATATAAATCTTTTCTAGGTATAGACCTAGATCTTTCCTAGGCTGAGAGAGTCACGTACCATTAAGCATAGTATATCATAATGACATCAAGGTCTAAGACAAATAGCTGAAACACAATGAGACAAAGTCAGAGAATTAGATAATGTCAAGAGCAGAAAGCTGCCAACACCAGTGTAGTTTTTGAGGTGTGATGCAAATGACGAATGAGGCTGCTCCCTCGACATTTAGTGACTAAAGTTTGCTCCTCACTCTATTCTGCTTGTGTTTATAGAACAGTTTTTCTGTGCCCTGGTGTACATACCATGTCTGCACTGAACTCTGTCAATCTAAAATTTCAATAGAAAGGTTAATTCTACATTTGGGGAAAAGAGGCTTTCCAACAGGTTGGTGCAGTCCTTTCCTACCATTCATTGCAGCACCTTAAGAAAAGAATTCAGGTATTATCAACCTTGTTCAATGCCAGGAGAGGGTATTTCTGTTCAACTCAACCCTAGTGAATAACATTCATGTGGGGAATGGCTTCTTTGTGTAGGCTCTCTTATCTCTGCTCCCAGTTTTGGGCAAAGACTTTTCTGAAGAAAAAAATCTTGTGTCTAATTATATTGTGCAGCAGAAGCTACTGTGGGCAGTTTCTTCTCTGCTTGGGTAATGGAGTGAGCAAGATTGAAGTGATCACAGAAAATCCTACTTTGCAAACTGTGGCACTGGGTTGACTGGGAACTCTGAAGAGCAGAGCCACCCATAGGAAAAAGCAAAATTAATTCCCATGTCTCTGCATTATATGTCCTCATGGTTCTCGAGTTTCTTGTCAGAAGTATCTTTCCTACTTTCAGATCCAATAGGTCTCTCTGAAAGCCCTTACCAGCGAACATCTAAACAGACTGGACATATATTCATGGGACCTGCTGTCATGCAGCCACAAATACTGAAGGAGCCAGATGATGCAGTTGCAACACTACTCTCAGTTTTCTTTGGAATGCCGTAATGATCCTTAGTCCTTCCTAAGGACTAGAAAAAGCAAATCTCGAGAAAAGCAAGAAAGAGGATCCAAGGAACAAAAGACTAGTCTGCCTGGCACTGACTCTGGGAAAGGTGATAGAACAAATCCTTATGGAAATTATTTTCAATAATATGAAGGTAATTGGCATTTGTTCACATTGACTTCCAAAGAGATATCAAGTCTGATCAAATTCTGCAGTGAAACAATTTGCTTCCTAATGAGAGAAACTGCCTGAACTGCTGAGCTTAAAAGGTGGCTACCAGTGGCATAAGGGCCATGCATATGGTTAAGAGATTAGAGCATCTGACATGTAAAGAGAGTGAGAAATCTGAAATTATTTAGCTCAAGAATAGAAGGTTTGTAGAGTCAAATCTAGCAGCTTGTATAAATACCTGATGGAGGGGGTAGAGCAAGGAATATAGAACCAAATTCTTGGTGGCATCTAGTGAAATGATAAGCAACAATGAACACAAATAAAAATAAAGGAAATTTCAATTCAACATAAGAAAAACTACCCTTACTTTGTGTATGATCAATTGTGGTCACAGGTTATCTAGGGAGGCTGCAGTTTTCATTTTTGGAGCTATTCAAAATCTTTCTGGACAAGGCTTATGCTTGGAGAAATGAAGTTGGGCTAGATTTTCAGAGATCTATTACAACCTCGGTCATCCTGTGAAAGGTTCTCAGTGCATCCTTGAAACTCTCCCCAAATTCTTCCTTTTTCTATTACTGTCCTTTACATGAATATTAAGGAGTTGGTGTTCCAGAGTTGGAATGATCACATCCTGCAGCTCATCTTCCTCTTTAGTATTTTCACACAATAAAAACAGCAGTGTCTCCCCTTTTCCCCAGCTTCTCTTGGTGTAGCTGAGCCAAATCCTGTCTTTGGTGCCTACACTTTTGGTTTCCTCATTTGCACTCAAGGGACCTCAGATTGCTATCAGTGTGATCCTCTTCCCAGAGTCCCTCTGGCACCAATTTGTGCATGTCAAGCACATCTTCCCTCTTCTTTATGTACCTCTTCACTGTCCCCTAC